TGTCATCAAGAGGTTTGGAGAACTTCCTCCTAAGGTCGGACTTAGACATGATGGCATCTGAATGTTTTCAACACAGACCTCACAGAATTGCCATTGAGTAAGTAGCATGATCCTAAAGGAATCCCTGGCCTCAGGCAGCCGGACGGCTCTGGTCTCCGAAGAGCCAGTCTTCGCGTTTCTCCATCCCCAGCACTCACCCTCACCCAGCAGATGGGGAGTGGTCTGGATTGACAAAAGATAAACCGGTGAAGAGAGCTAAAGGCTGAGACACTGAGCATCTATTGTCGTGTTTAAGCTTAGCTGGGTCCTTTCGAGTTTGTTTTACAGCTTACTAGGTTACGTAGTTTGCACTATTTTTGCAATAAATTCATGGAAAACCTAACAGTTAACTTGTTTTGTTTCTTACTGTGTGTATATAAACTAATACTAAAAGTTTGGCATAGTGTTTTTTCACCTCCTTACATAACCCTTAACATGCACAGAATGCTGTAAATCTGATAAAATATGATGTGAATGATATTTTATAAAGTTATTTTGTATGGTGTCAATTTTGTTTTGCCTCATAGTATGTCAGCAAAAAATAAAATAAAATTCCTCATATTTACAGCTGCCTCTCCCAAAGATCTTCAATTACTGACAGATTTGGGCACTTCCTTCTGCACAAATTAAGATTCCAGGTTTCCGAGGGGGGAGCCTGCCTTCCATGATGGATGTCTAGAGGCCTAGTCTGCAAGTATTGGACCTACTCCTTGAACAGTGTATTCAGAAGAGGTGGGCACTATTCCCTGAGAATTCGGGTTTGGGGATGAAAACCACAGGAACGAATCGGAAAAATAAAACTGGTATCTAGGAGGAGTGGGGTGTTTCTACTCTAGCAGCCACGAGAAAGGAGGAAGTAAAAAGCTGTTCAACGAAGCCCCAGTCAAGAGCAGTGCGAGCCCTGCCCTGAGGTCGTGTCGTGTGGGAGGAGTCCGAGCTGACCACATCCAGGGTTCGCATCCTGGTGGGTCGTGACTCCCTCTGCCCGGGCCGGGGTTACACGTAGCTCTGCCACCCTGGTCGCCCCACTCTGGGCTGTCCATGACCTCCACTGTCTGCACTGTAAAGAGTATGTGCTTGTTGGGAAAGAAGGGTTGGACGTAAGGGAGCCAAAAAATGGCTGAAAATCCTAGGATGCCAAATGGACATGGTCGCTAAAGCAGGCCAAGACTTTGTTCTTGCTGAAAGCTATTTTTTTATTTTTAAGAATATGTATTAATTATAGAGAATGTTGACAATTCAGATGAACATGAAGATGAAATTTTAAATTATTTATAACCCACAACACTGATAGGTAATTATTCTTAAAACTTCTGGTATATTTTGTTCTAGTCTTTTGTTTTTTCTAACAAAATCAAGATGAAGTTCTCCCCACCCCACCCCTCGCTTAGACATCCAGGACCCTGTACTTCTTGCTTACTTAGTATCTAAAACCATACAGCACCTCTGTGCCATTGGCCCTGGGAGACGCTAGCTGAAGCCGGAAGAGAAGAAAATGATGAGAGATCTCTAATCTCTTTACCTAATACATACAGGCTCACCTTGTGACATTCTTGCTGTTTAATTAAATGAAACTGTATGATGGTGGGGTGCCTGGGTGGCTCGGTCGGTTGGGCATCCGACTCTTGAGTTCAGCTCAGGTCGTGCTCTCAGGGTGGTGAGATTGAGCCCTGAGACGGGCTCCTCGCTCAGCATGGAGTCTGCTTGGGTTTCTCTCTCCCTCTGCCCCTCCCCCTGCTTGTGCGCTCTCTCTAAAATAAATAAGAAAAAAAAAAACCCTGTATGATGGTGTTACATGAATTAGGAAAAAACTTCAGGAGAGAAAGCCGCTTGACTAGAGGGTGTTTATGCTCCATAGAGGATGAGGAGCTCATACCAGGAGGAATGGAAGGTTTCCCTAGGAAAACCATAGGATACAAAGTAGAGTAAGATCAGTATGAAGGTTCTTAATGGCCAAGTTAAGAATGTAGCCCACACAGAGTGGGGAGAAAGTGGGTTGTTTTTTTTTTTTAAGCTGCATGGTCCAGTGAAGAATGTGGTCTGCGATTCGAATCCCAATTCCACCACCTCCTAGGTGTGTCCTGGACTAGTTCCTTAGCCCGAGCTTCCATCCCCTTCTTTGTAAAACACGGACACTTTACAAGTTATGGGAGGATTAAATGAACAGGTACACAATAGTAGAAGAGGTGTGGCCCCCAGTAGCCACTTTAATATCAGCTATTTTTAACATTTCTGACTAGGAAAGATTAATCTTCATCAACTGTTTTGGTAACCTGATACAAATATAGAAGTGAGGCTCTAGAGATAATGAGGACGCTAGTGTAACAGACGGGTGTGTGGCTCAAGGAGAATCCAAGGAGGGGGGGCTCCCTAAATAACCAGATCTGAAGTGCTTAGGATGTGGTAAGAATGTTTCAGCTGGTTATTTTTCCTGGGGATTTCTTAAACAGCAACATGTTACTGGGGGCATAGATACTAGGGGCCATGCATGGCATTTTAAAAAGATAATTGTTTAAATAAAAACAATAAAAACTAAATAAACAGATACACAGGGCACCTGGGTGGCTCAGTCGGTTAACTGTCCGACTCTTGATCTCAGTTCAGGTCTTAATCTTAGGGTTGTAGTTCAAGCCCCATGTTGGGCTCCACACAAAAAAAAATACACAGAGAAGATCTTTGTGACTGGGTTTGATGACAAGTTTTTAGATACAAGAAAAGCATGATCCCCAGAGAAAAAAACTGACATACTGGACTTCCTCAAAATTAAGAACTTCTCAAAGAGAAATAATAATTTCTGCTCTTTGAAAGATGCTGTCAAGAGAAGGAAAAGACAAGCTACAGACTGGGAGAAAATATTTGCAAATCCCATAATCTAGCAAAGGGATTATATTCAGAATACATAAAATTCTCAAAACTCAGCAAAAAGAAAACCCAATAAAAAGATGGGCAAAAGATTTGGACACTTCACCAAAGAAAATATGGTAAATAAGCAAATAAAAAGATGCTCTACATTTGTCATTACAGAAATGCAAATTAAAGCCTACACCCATGAAAATGGCTAAAATTAAAAAAAAAAATTACCAAGTTTTGCAGAGGATGCAGAGCAACTGAAATTCATTTACTGCTGGTGGGAATGCAAAATGGTCCAGCCACTTTGTTAAGTCTGGCAGTTTATGAACTTAAATACACAATTCCACCCCTAAGTATATACTCAAGTATGTTCACTCAAGTGGACATCCTATGTTCACACAAAACCTGTACACAAATGTTTCTAGGGCTTTATTTGTAATCATCAACACTGGAAACAACCCAAATTGGGAATTATCCGTTGACCTGGGGAACGGAGAAACACTACTACATATCCATACCACGGGAGCCTACTCAGCAATAAGGAGTGGGACCCGCAGTAACGTGACTCTCCTGTGCGTTACACGTCACCAAAGCTGCACACACAGGCTCTGTACCGTAGAGTTCCATCTATGCGACATGGGAAAGGCAGGTCAGCAAACCACGGTCTGCGAGCCAAAGCCAGCCCATTGCGTTTC